TTGAGCCTTTTGCATATTTGCGCGGGCTTGAGTCAGCAAGTCCCTGTACTTCCGAACGGAAGCGGGGGAGCAAGCGGCGTCAATGTCGGTTGGTCGAGGGAAGAGAAGGTCGGCGAAGATGCGGCCTTTCCGTCCACCGTGGTGCAACTCGAATGGAGTCACGCCGATCGCCGGGTGCACCGAAGTGTTGTAGGCGAACTCGATGTCGGGGAGGCGGTCAACCCAATCTTTCTGGTCTGGACGAATGAGCGTACGAAGCATCATTTGAGCTGTTTGATGTGCCCGCTCCGTCTGCCCGTCTGTCTGAGGATGTCGAGCCGAACTTGTTTTCATTGTTGTGCCGGACTCCTGCATGAGAGCAGTCCAAAACGCCGACATGAAACGAGTGTCGCGGTCGCTGACAATGTCTTCTGGTACACCGTGGCCACAAATCCAACCAGTGTGCAGGAGGCGTGCCAGCTCGGGAGCCGTGGAGTAGTACTTGCAAGGGAGAAAACGCGCGTACTTACTCAATCGGTCCACAACCGTGAGGATGCCGTCGTGCCCGAGACGGTCGCGAGGAAACGGACCGGTGACGTCCATGGCAATGGAGAGACCGGGTTCGCGTGGGATAGGCATCGGGTGTAACTCGTCGTAGGGATTGCGGTTGCGGGGCTTGCTGCGTCGGCAAACTTTGCAAGAGTCGCAATACCGAGTGACATCGGTAATGAGGTTGGGCCATCGGAATCGCTGTCGAAGCCGTGCAATAGTGCGGTTGACTCCGAAATGGCCAGCGAGTCGTGAATCATGATACTCGCCAAGGAGGCCAGTCCGAAGACGACGGTCGCGTGGGACACATAGTAAGTCCTTGCCTCTCGAGTGGAGGAGCAAGTACCCGTCAGCAATGCAGTAATGGCTGGCCGGCGGGTGATCCGAAGATAGCTGTGCATAGAGCGTGCCGAAGTCCGGATCAGACTGATATGCCCGGATGAAGTATCGCTGAAGCTCCTCGTCGAATGCGAAGGCATGACGTGTCATAGCGCAAAGATCGGGTCTTCGTGAGAGTGCATCTGCTGCGCGATTTGAGAGGCCAGGCGGATGTTTCGGTGTGAAGTCAAATTGGTCGATGAAGTACATCCATCGTCCGATCGTGCTGCTCACCGTATCTTGCGCCTTGTAGTAAGTCAATGGATTGTTGTCCGTGACCCATGTGAACCTACGACGCCCAAGGAGGAAGTGCCGCCATTGCTTGAGAGCCATGACGAATGCGAGCAGCTCCTTCTTCCTTGCATCATCAAGCGAGTTGATGGGAGGCACTTTGTGGCTGAAATACTCCACAGGGTGCCAGTCATTGCCGTCGTGCTGTTCCAAGACTGCCCCAATGCCATAGCSGGAAGCGTCYGTAGTCACTCGCGTTGGCAGGGTGGGGTYATAGATGCTAAGGACGGGTGCCATGAGCATAGCCGTCTTAAGTGCTTGGAATGACCGGCGTGCGGCATCATCGAATACGAATGGCACCTTTGGCGACTGTAACCTCGTCATAGGTGCAGCAATCCTGGAGTATCMGGTGATGAATCGCTGATAGTAGCCCGCCAATCCCATGAATGAACGAACGTCCGTGGTGTTGGTGGGCTCGGGCCATACT